CCTTCGATTAAATGAACACCCGAAAGGCAGCGGGTCTAGCACATGGTCAGTTCACTGACTCATGCGGATTGATGTCCTGAATCTTAGCAGGGAGAAGGGCGAAACTCAACTTCCACCCAGCGGTCACCACGAGGAGGCGGCCAGAAGATGAGCCAATGGCACAACAGTAGCAGCAGTGGGTAGACCATTTGTCAGGATCTAGCCACCACCAGCCTCAGCGCACCATAGGCTCTCCTGCCCCCGCTCATGTATATATATATATATATATATATATATATATATATATATATATATATATATATATATATATATACATATCTATATCTATATCTATATATATATATATATATATGCGATCGACTATGTACGACAATATCGTCTCAATATATGCCCTGCCCTCAAAGTCCTCCAATAAGTGCGGCATCAAACACCAGAGGGTGAACGGGGCACCAGACTCATCAAACGGCATTCTTTTAATTTGATATTGCTTCTCGCTGACTGTAAGCACCATATTATCGCGGCTTTCTCGTTTGACCACCAGTAGCTAGATCTCAGGTCCAAGACACTTAATATCTTTGACTGCAGCAGTCTGTCGAAGATGTCTACGACTGGTGGAAACGACTCAACGAGGTTTTTTCAGCCTCATGAAGTCTATGAATATACGGTAGTTACTGTTGGTCTTCCTCGTCAAAACGGCTGGGTAAGTATCCCAGCTGTGAGCCTCCTCAATTACACACGCACCCAACATCACTTGCAATTGCTTCTTGAGTTCTACGTCTACTATCAGGTAAATTAGTTCCCTTCGGAAATTATGCAACTGGTACATCTGGTGCGAAATCGAAATTGTGGGCTCGATCCTATCACGAAGCGCATAAAGACTACTGTAGTCCGTAAGGAGGTGGTGGTTGCTAACATGTGACTGCAAGGCCGGACTTGCGTGCGAAACAGCAACAGCCGAGCACGACCGTATGGATCATTCTCTACCAGAGGAGGATATAAACCCGCATTTCGTCGCTAACCTTTCTCGTTTGGGCCGACTGGCCCCATCGAGTTGAAAAAAAGCCAGCCCCTAAAGACGCGATTTGCTTCCGTTCGCCGATCCATTGATATGCTCCGCCATGTCACGTAGGTGTAATTCGTAACCGCCAACATCCCTCACATACACAGCGCAAGATTAAAGTTTTCTTCTCTGCCGATGGCTGACAGTGGTCACTGCGGCACTCATCTAAATCAAACACCGTTCTATCCTGTCGTTTACTTCCACCATCGCTTCAACCCCATCTTTATTCAGCGCCCGGGTAGACATTCGAGAAGCAAAACAAGATTGAACGCGTGTACTTGGTAAAGTGGAGCACTAATTGCTTCGCCCAGCATTATTGTTTTCAGTGTCTGTTGTCAACAAAGGAAACAAAATACCCTTGATCGCTCATCCGAGAGCTGCACACGATGTCTTTCTCGAGCTGCTCCACCACCCGATCCAATCTATTCAACCGTTTTACGCCTTTATGGTGTTCCTTTTCCAATACGGCGAGAGACGCATCGCCAAACTCGCGGACGACCAGAGCAAGCTCCACGCGTACTCTTCGGATTGAGCTCGCAATCCGGACTCATTACACGATGGTATGCGCAGGAACATCCAGGAACTTGTCCACCATTAACTACTGTCTCGATAAATCGTCCACTCCAGACAGTGCACCATTCAACAAGCTGTGGATGCTGACCTCGAAGACGAGCAGATCAACCTATATTTCAAACCGGGCCGCCCTGAACCGCCGCAACCAGCGTCACCTTCGCGACGACCCACTCCAACTTGGCAGGGCTTCTTCGCGCCGCCACCAATATTGCCTAGATGTTACTCTTGAGGAGATTCCGCAGGGCAGCCAGATTCGCTCGCTGCGGTTTTACTCGGACTGTCTCCGCGAGGTCCTCCAGTAACATCCGTACATTCCTATCCTTAAACGATTCCAGCCATCAGTCAGGCATGTCTGTTCTCTCTACTGCTCAGTGCATCAAAGTAATACTGGAGACTTTCTAGACAGATGGCTAGACGCCCGAAAGTGAACCTGAGAGAGTAAGGAAGCATGCATGACACTATTGGGTAAGGGTAATCAAGAAAAGCGCGCCCCCCAGCTGCTTTGTTTTCACTCAATTAGTCTATGGATCATAAAGCCACATATACCCAACTACGAAGCTGATAGCGCGTTAAGTTTCCGATCCAATGCGAGATCTCATTCATCACTTTAGCTTCTCACAAAAATGAATGCACAATGGTTAAACTTACATCCCCACTAATCGCATCACTCCTCGTATTTGGGTGGACAACGCATCCATCTGGATTCGTCTGGAGAGAAGTATTCGTTAAACTTGAGGTTAACTTGTTTCCACGTGAGCGAGAAACGGGTGGTGCGGGTGGCGGGGAAATCAACCTGATGGGAGTGGCATCTGCACGTGGAGTTACTCGGGGTTTAAAGGCTACACTATCATCACGAGCGTCATCTCCTGTCCACCGAGTGTTAAGATTGAGGACGATCCTTTAACCCTCCTTGAATCCCAAGTCAAGTGAAGGCTGTGATTTAAGCCTTTCTTCGGCCAGTTTCACATCCTCGTCTTGTTTGATGCACGTATATTTCTTTTGATGAGAGAAACTGTCTATAACGGCACAGATCAATTTGTACAGAAGAATCCATGCTTTTGCATGGGTGACATGTATAGGTGGAGTATTGGGATACGCGTTTCATGTATTAACATTCCGCCGGATGGTTGGGGCCAAAGCCTAGTTATGAAGACATTGGTGTTTATATGTTTTTGGGTCCCTCTTGGAATAGCTCATGGAGGGATTTTTCCCATGTGAATATAGAGCTTAGGGTAGTTGGATCAAGGTAATTGGCGAGCCTGCTTCTAAATGTTGCCACATTGTCACATGACCTGACTGTTATTGGTAGTTTATTCCACAGGTAGCTGTATCTGACCAGGAAGAAATTTGAGCGGACGTTCGTCCTAGCCTTCGGTATATTCAATGTAAAATCTTTGTTGCGAAGCGCTCGAGTTGGGCAATGTTGTAAATTGAGTGTAGGCCACTTGGAATAGGTTTGTTAGTGTAACATGTTTAAAAGCAGCAACAAGTTGTGCTTCAATCGCCGAATCCAAAGTAGTTCATGATGAAGTTCATTGCAACGTTCTCGATAACTCATAGCAGTGTGTTTACCAACCAGGTGTTTAGTAAATGACCTCTGCAGATTCTCCACAGCAATTCTGTCATTTTCTCATATTTCCCTATATTATGCTGCAGTATTCGAGAATGGGGCGAGCGAGTGGCTTGAAAAGCTCAGCTCTAGCACGAGTTGTGTACATTTTGTTTGATATATTGTACATAGACTGTCTGGCACTTGCTACTTGGTATTGGGCTTGTTCGGAGAAATTGAAGGTAAACGAGTACCTAATGCCAAGATCTCGCGTGGACAACTGTGTAGGGACGCGTACATTGTTTAGGATAATAGATCTTTCGGGGATGCAGAAGCCGTAAGACATGATGCTTGATTTCTTAGCCGAGAGGTTCATCACCCATGGGCCGCATCATGACTCAAGGGAATGTAAATCATCTTGAATGAGCAGTAATGTCCCTTGAAGCTTGTCACACCGACACTTCTAGACTAGTTTGATATCATCAGCAAATAAAAATCATATACTATGTTTTACAGATGTCATTGATGCAGAGCAAAAAGAGTAAGGGAGCGAGCACGCCCCCTTAAATGGTTCCACTGGTGATTGAGAGTGGGGAAGAGCGATAATCACCTAAAGTGACTACCTGATGACGACCACTCAGATAGGACGATAGCCAACCTAGTAGTGCGTTCCGGATGTCAAAGTTCTCCAACTTTTGTAGCAGTCGCTTATGCGTTACTCGGTCGAACGCTCGGTGTATGTCAAGAAACAAGATTACTACTGCATAGCCGGAACCGATTGGCTCTGAAATGTGACTAAGGTTATTCAGTTGACAGATGGTGCACGATCGCTAATTGAGAAAGCCATGCTGCGAATTGTTGATCAGGCCAATAGAATCAACAAAGTTCATCATCTCCATTCTGACCAGCTTTTCGAATAGCCGAGCGATTATCGGAGTGTGGTGGATTGGCCGGTAGTTATCAGTCGTTTGTTTGCGACCTCCTTTATGCGGAGGCATAATAAATGACGTTTTTCATTGGTCTGGAAAGAGGCCAGATTTCAGCGGTGCGATGCGAAGCGTCAGTGAGTGCGGGTGATCGATATTCTATGCGGACGAGTCGTCAGTCTGAGTTTTTATTGTTTGATGGACACATGACCATCGAAATGTTGCTAGCTGTGTTTGGTCGGTAAGTTATTCATATAGCTGTCTTATTCGACTGCACACGTTTCGTCACCAATCCAAGTGATCTCTTCAATCTGTAGTTGTGCTAGTCCCGCTAGTAGGCACAGAACCTCAGGTGAACCTGTATTTGTCACAAATGACGGGCCAACCGACCTTTAACGATATGGAATGGTACTTTCACACTAATAATGCTATCTGCAGATAGCATTTAATTTTTTCGAACTTGCATGCCGATCCTGGTAATTTACAACTACCATGGATCTAAGGCAACACGTGTTAATCTTAGTGTTTTCTTCTTTAGTAGCATACGGCAGTAGGACACTTGTGGGGTACCGACTTACTGTCGTTAATGAAAATTACTAGCCATGCAGGGTCAAACCGACAAGAGTATCGTCGGCATTTAAGCCGCATTCTTGTAACCACTGGATGTCTACCTGCTCCGCGACAGGCACTTTTAGCCTTTGTTTTGCCTCTAATTTCTGTTCAACTCTTTTACGGCCACCTCTGGGCGTGCGCACTCCCGATCCCTCCACCCTCATTTTCCTCTAGCTGGCAGTTCATGCCGCACGGTTTATTTTTTATACACTTGAGAAGCATTATCTTTCTGTAGATTCTTTTTGCTCATTCTGCTCGTATGTCTTTTTCCACCCCACAGCAATCCTATTAAAATAAGTGCCTGCTGAACAATGGAGTTCAGAACAACAGCCCACTCAAAACGCGGTCTCATACGACTCCAGTTCTATCGAGAACCACCTACGGATACCATAGAGCTAAATGAGCTAGAGCAGTATGCACTAGAGCGACTAAAAGTGCTCAAGTGCATTGAAACTGTGAGGCAGGATTACAAGGCTGGAACGAAGGAGTATGAAGAGCGTATGACTGCGGAACTTCTCAAACTTGGGACTTTTGGAAAATCTATGACCACCACCTCCTCTTTCCAAAAGGGTGTGAGAGAAGATATTCGGCGAGACATCATCTCACACTTTATACTTCAAGTACGGTTGGTTTAATCCGCTTAAATTCCTATTGCTTATTTCCGCCACTGCTGCGCTTATTTCATCTAGGTGCGGATGCGCCTTAGTCATCGCCCGCGTCACACAGTGTAAAGTGTTTCGCATTTCCCATCGCTTCGGCTTGATACTCTATGTCATTTGCCGTGATTGCTATTTTTAAATATGATACAAAATGTGGAGTTGATACGTCGGAATGAATGCGCTTACTTTAGCGGTCGTTGTCGTCGCACGTCAAACATGCCGTAGCCAAAGCCCGATTGAGTTTCGGATTTTCTTTTGAAACCTTTACTTTGAAAGACAAATATCTGCACAAAATGCTTACATTGGTATACTACAAATCCATAAGTGATCGGATCTCATTAGATCATATGCAGTGATCGTCTTCCCAACGCCTCCTAGGCTTCTCAACCTCACTGCCATCATGAATCGCTGTCATTCGCCTCAGATTGTTCCAATCCGGATGAAAATGTACATTTTCCTTTTCTAATTCTTTTATCTCGGTCTGCGACCAGAAGTGACAAAAACTTAGTATTGGTAAAACGTTCCAGAACGATGTTCTGAAACTTTTTTTCTAAATCGCTGTGGCGGATTTTGGAATAGCAAATACGTGAAATTGAGTCCACCACGAGCTTTCCTACCTTTTCAATTTTTCCCTGAGTGTAACGAAAGCGATCGAATTTTTCAGGACGCCGCAGAATAATCAGTAACCCATGAAATCGGGTCCAGATAAGCATAAGCAGCAGCACAAGTGCCCGCCGCAAAAGTTTAGCTCAACAGGAAGTGCCTATACAGACATGTCTCGCATTCTCCGAGAGTAAAGAATTTATTTATCGCAGTTAGCCTGCATATTATGATGGTCCGAAGCTGTCCCCCGTGGCCAAGTGAAATAAGCTACTGACTGGCGGTGCAAGCCGGTGGTGGTTCTGGGTTCGAATCCTGATGGATGGGCACTACTAATGATGCCCAATAGGCTGAAACTGCAGTCTAGTGCTTTTCCGGGCATGTGGACGGCTATCTGATTTGGAACTGGCTACGACGAACCCTCAATTAATTAATCTTTTTATTTATCGGGCACACCTTTGTTGAGCAAACAGTCCCGAAAAGAATATCGATCCACCTTTGTTATCGATAAACACGACTACGGTGGGTCGCCATTAAATATAGCGGTGTTCCATCAACCGACGCAGAGTAAAGGTGTGGTCCATGCAGCCTCATTTTCGATGAAACCCGGCTTGCTGCTCGTGAATCTGCCTTTCACGAGTGTCAGCCAGTTTGTGAAGATCGGTAGGCGCAGGCATTTTAGAAGGAACTATGATCAGACTAATTTTCTATGATTTCCCATTCCGAACGTCAGTCCCCTTTGAAACTTGGAACAACAACGGAGCGGCTCCAGTCTGTTGGATCAATCTCCTGCTCCCACAGCTTCACTAATAAATGTTACTCCATCCATGAGAACTGGTCCCCGGAATTTAAAAAGGGCTAGAGAAAGTCTACCTGCTCCTGCGGCCTGATTCACATAACAGTCTGATCTCACATTCTACTTCTGCGCTGGAGAGCGGATCCAAGGGGATGACCTGGGGGGAATAGCAATCAATACCCGAAAAGGAAGACTCAGGTTGATTTAACTGTTTTCAAATTGTTTGTTCTAACGCTCTAAGCGTTTAGGCAAGCTGCGAATCGGATGCCCACTCTCGCCGTGTACGCTCCCACTAACATCAAGTATCCCGCTACCCGTTTCGCGTATCATTCGGAATAAATTACGTAGATTGCAAATGGCAACGGCTATTTCCATCTGGGCCGCACGATGAGATTGTCAAGTTTCGCGGTCTAAAGGCTAACACACAGTTCTGCCACGAGAGTTTGTTTTCGATTCCATTCGCAACATGTCGGCGAGCATCCAGAACTTTCAGAGACTGCGTTGAGACCCGATCTCCAGGTTGGAAATTTGATTTACTGTAGCCTAAAGGTAACGAGCTCGTCTTGTACTCTGGCGGCGCGCATTCGAACCTGCGTTGGTGAAGGTCGACATTACCAGTATCCTTAGCCCACGTGCGACCGGTGGTGGTTGCGCGGCGGCGAAATATCGATACTGCGTACCGGCGTACTGCTGATGCCCTTATCACATGAAGACATGCCCGCTCATAGTCTGGCGAATATGCAACCACTGATCTTCAACTATGTGCAGCGGGCGTTTACTCTTTCCGAATGTCAGCGTGCTTTGATATGCATTCAGAACATTTGGCATCGCCAGTTGGTTGGTGTCTATGAACTCACAGCGTCGTTTAGGAACTCCGCCGAAATGTACCCGCAGATCGGCACATGCTGGAGCGTGGAGTCCTTACTCGGGCTCCATATCTAGCCACAATTTTGGACGCAGCCGATCCAGCGGTAACTGATCGCGATATGGTCGATTTGCGTCCATGGGTTATAATAATAACAATAGGTGTATTTCTCATCGAGGGAGAAACTGTGTCCATATTTGGCATAGGTCATATTTGTCATGTTGTCTGAGACTGGTAGGCGCCATGTTACTCTTCTGCGCGTGTTGTGTCTAATGTTTGTGCTCGCGAAAACTAGACTAAATTCCTTACACAGATGTAGCAACCGCTCACCATTATCATCACGGGAGACTACACCATGTTGGCCACCCAAATTAACTTCCTCAGTGGACACTTTTCCGATCTGGACGTTCAGATCACCAACAAGCACCACCGTATCCGTACTCTTTCTGTAACGACGAAGCTAGTTCAATTAGTGGTAGAATTCATGTTTCACCGAATCATTGGGAACGTAGGCCGTTTGTCCCCACGCGACTTCAAAACTTGGAACGAGGCAGCCTGTCTGACGGTGCGCATCCGGCTGTTAACTAGGATCCAATCGATCAGGACACCTTCAGTCCGGAGACCAATGCTCACAACGGTTTGACCGGCATTTAAAGCCGCATCTCCGAACAAACGCAATGAAAAGTGCCACCATGTGGGAAATCGCAGGTTAAGCTCAGAGCTTGCGAGCGGGTTCCCGACAAACAGCAGGTATCAGTCCATAAGCTCTCTAGTGTTCGGGCAAGTACTGACTGTTAACCAATTTGTCATAAAGTGCGCACTTTGAGACATGCCATTTTTAGCGAGGATCGGGGGCTCTAAAAAAATCGGATGAAGTGACGTCTGTTTGGTTAAACATAGACTTGTCGACCGGGCCGGATTGACTTCCTGTTATTCGTGTGAGCGGAAACTAGAAAACAAACGCCTATCAAAGCAAAATGGAGAAGCATCAAGAATTGGGGGTCCAACAGTCTTCCACAGATGCATCTTATGGCAGAGACCAGTGCACTTGGCTCGTGGCCAGAGTTAGGTTGTCGAAGTCAGTATTCAACTAGTTGTAAGCTGCTTCCAGCGGACGCGAATACAGTAAAGGTAAATCCACATTGGTTACGAGCACTTAGTAGTCGCTTGCTGCTAAGGGCTCCAAGATCTGAACATCATAGACATATTGTTCACAGGATGTTAACACCAAGTGTATGCATGACGGAGTTGGGCGGGGCGTTGTGCGCGTCATTTGACATGTTCGGTGCGCTGCTCCACGTTTGAGTACCAAGTCGCCAAACTTTGCTTTGACCTCACAATGTCTGGGCATGAGTTGGATTTTAGGCCAGCATACTCAAGAACACTTATTATGACCCATGAGTAGAAAATGGGGCGACTCAAGTTGCTTCGATGATGCGGTAACCAATCCAAACAACGGCTCAGATGACTGCGATAAACTGTACCCACGAGCAACTATTAGCGTTTGATTTGGGTCAAGGACCACAGCTGCTCACACAAGCCATCGTCGCTTCTCTAGACGCTCACAAGTCTCCCATACAGAAATGACCATGTGTACAGTAGGATGGCACTGCGGACAGCCCAGAGTCCATCACAGTAGAAGCACGAGTAGCCACCGAACTCGATTTCCTGGAGAATCACCTCAGAATTCAGTCACGCCTGTGCGACTCACACTACATTTGACTGCTCAGATGCGACGAAACGACAATTCATTGCGCTTGTTAATGAGACAACAAACCTTTGCAAAGGCTGCATGCAAGCTGCAGCAAGAACCACTGGGCGTGCTTGAAGTGTAAACAGCATGTTTATCCTGCTTCTTGGGATCTTGGAAATGATCCGAAAATTGACGATACCGAGATTTGTTTCCCCACCATCATTATCTTTTCAGCACATTGATGACAGAGTTGAGCTGTATTAAGTCCACCGGATCCAGGGCTGGACGAACATGTTTCTGCAAACCTTTCAGTCTATTCAGGCGGGACAAGCTCAGCCTCGGAAAGACGGTCTACATAGGTGACTCTCTGATCGACCCTGTTGATCACCTTTGTCGCAGTTTCAATCCGTCCTAACCCCCTTCGAGCAGTCTATCAGTCAGGTTCTCGACATCTTGATCGTAGCGCATCTGGACTCAGGCGCGTGGAAGGTTACTATATTAAAACGCCTCTGGTGTGGGTTATTCTGGGTCTTGCGTGCTTTGATCGGTCATTGATTTGCAGTAGCTGAACTCATTCTTCTGCTTTTTCTTTCGGTAAAATATTCTCCCCGACAGTTTCTAAATGCTATGTCATACGTAGCTACTGTCAGTAAAAGTCTTTCATGGCCAACCCTGTCTTCTGCGACATTCGTAACTTGCATGGCAGTAAAGGATAATGTGCGCTATATCGCATTTGGCTTGCAACTCATGACGATCCGTCGCTCTATCCATGACTCAGTTGCATAAGTTGCTGGTGCAAGTCGCTACTGGTCATGGTTTCCGATCCTAATGGAGCCGTTGAATAACCAGTGCTGGGGGGACCCAACAGATCGAAACGGAGGTCTAGTGCACTTCTTGGTATGTGGAGGATTACCTGCTTTAGGGGCTGCTGCGACGAACTCTCAATTAACCTGTAACTTCTTTCTCGAATCGTCTTGCCTTGATACTGTATACGGCGATGCCGCCGT